TAATGTTTTGACCAAAAATTATGTGGACCAAGGTTATGTTAATCTTAAACTAACATGCTATCATCCCACTTCTGCACAATATTTAACAAATATGACTGCTGCTATAAAGAAAGATTCTGTAATCTATATTAATGGTGAACTCATGATAACCGATAATGATAACATAGTTCATATTCGTGCTGTTTCATTTCCGGAATACTAGAAATTAAATACAATTACAAAAAATAACTCGATGCAATTTTCATGGGAATCGACTGACCAAAATAATATAAATCAGCAAAATGTCTCCACCATCACTCAAACCATAGCCACCAGAGTCAAAGGAAGCACCTGATGCAAAAAAACTACACCTACCGCTAAACCATATCTTAAAACCAACTCTCGTTCAAAGGTTACCAATTTGGCAAATAATCTTTTAAATAAACCTTCAGATCTGAATACATCTAATCAAACTGCTACTGAATAAATAAGTATATTAGCATTTATATATATCAATATGTACTCAACTTAAAAATCATTAATCTTATTTTTTTTTTATTCTTTCATAAATAATAATTAGTACACCTTCGACATACCGGATTATGCCTTCTTTAAATACTACAGATAGTTTTACTACAAATAGTTTTAACGAATATTATATATATTCATACATTTACCTATTAATATTTACATTCTTATCTATTATTTTATATTTACATTCTTATAAATAACAAATAAAATGTTATTATATATTTAAAATTATAACACAAATCACACGAATTACAAAAATGATTACTTATTACCTGTAAACTAAGTCAACTAATTAATGTTTGAAATAAATTCGATTGCAGTGTCTCCTATTTCTTAATCCTATATCTTCTTTATTTTATATAAATAATCATATAAAAAAAAAAGTCATAATCAAACTTTCACATATAATATCAACAATTACCAATTATTACTCATCCCGATTTGTAATCCCATGACGTCTTGTCTTGATGTAGTAAAGTTAAATAAAATCAATAAATTAATAAAAGCCAAAATATTTATTTATCTTTCAAAAATACAAAATAAATCTATACTGCCAACTTCCAGGCCAGATCGACTCTTAAAATAAAATCATCTTAAAAACACTGTTATATCAGTGATTTTTCGTATCTCTAACCAAAATAAATACAATAAATAAATAAATAGGTAAATACAATTGTTAAACAAATCCAAATTAAATTATACTTAAAAATTTCACAACTAACCTTTTCTATAGCACAACGATATATCAATATTGATGATTGTACAGATACTTATTGGGATATTTGATAAACATGCCTTAATTTTTTATTTAAAATATTTAAAATATATATGTATATGGGGGGAGTCAATAGAAAAGGGTCAAATTTTTTCTAATTAAAAGTTTTCTTAACTTTAAGCTTAAATATTTTAGCAATTATCTTATTAAATTTAATAAATTTTTTTTTATTTTAATTCTATATAATTTCAAGATTAAAATAAAAAAATTTTTAACAATTTTGATTAAATAGTTGTTGAGATATTTTAATTTAAAAATTAAAAAAAAATTACTAAAAATAATTTGTCTCTTTTCTATTAACTCACACCCAAATGCTAAAGAATAAATATTGAAAATTTAAAGAAAGATTTATATATATATTTTTAAATAAATTTGATTTTTGCAATTTTTTTACAAAAATTTATATATAAAATTAGATGTGTTAACTCATTTGATTTATAAGTAACAACATTCAGTTGGACATGTCCTATGACTGGTAAGAAAAAGACACGCTTTTCTAATAATAAATAAAAAAACATTACATTCGCATAAATAACAAAAAAAGAATACATATGAATGAAAAAACAGCAGTTTCTGGTTAACCCAAACACCTATAATCAATAGATATAGTTATACACATACTCCAATTTACTATAGAAAAAATGTTTTGTTAAAAGCTCTACTAGACAATTTATTAAAACAATTTGCAAAGCATATACTATCACTCTATAGTCTTTATAATATCATACCCAAGAATAGTTACTTTTCTTTTATTTAATTAACTAGAAAGCCTCCTGGTTATACTTCAACAACAACCAAAAAATCTTACACAACTTTACCAATTTTAAGCTAAACTACTTATATAAAAGCCTTCAAAATTAAATTGCTTCTTAATATGCTACTAACACATGCATATTTTCATTCTATATACTTTCTTATTTTTATACTTAATAATTGCTTCTTTTGTAACTGTCTAGACTTTCCTTCTTACTGGTATACTTGTCTTAACAATACTCTTCTAATTTAAACTATTAATTCTTTAATAAATGATATTATTTTTAACTCAATTTCAATATTTCTACATATTAACTTTACAACCTTATATATACTATCTTTTTATATTTTTCTTTTAATTCTTTACACTCACCTTTTTATTTTTATTCTTTTTACTTTTATACCTTTTATATATTTTATACCTTTTATACTTTTATACTTTTTTTATTATTTATATCTTGTAAAACAATAGTATTTTTTTAGTATTTGTAAAAATATATAAACCTTAGCTTTCTGCCCTCCTGTAGCTTTAGAATTAGTTCTTTGCAATTTTTAGTTATTAGAATTCTTTAGGTACAAATATCTATTGATAGCCTTGTATCTTAAATATTGTATTATTAATAAATATACAGTATTTCTTTTGCTTTTTAAATAAACTATAAGTAAATTATATTGAACTGCTCTAATAAAGTAATATTTTATTTCTATATTGCTTCATATCTCTTTCTATTGTTTATGAGATCTCTGTTACTATATACTGTGTTGCAAGTACTATATTTACAAAAAGGCTATAGTCATTTGTAATATTTTGGTACTTTTTAGTAAAAACCAAAATTAAATATCCTGTTATTTTTTTTTTATTTTTTTTTTTTTAAATATTAAAGGTGAATTTTGTTATTCTCTCTTGCTCTCTAAAATTAATTTATTTATAAACATTTATTACTACAAGAATATATAGTATATGCTATAAAAATAGATTTTCAAAAATAGTTTATTTTATCTTTACTAGAGCAAATTAATTTTTTTTATAAAAAAGAGCAAATCTAATTTATATAATTATATTGTTATATTAGTAGTATATTAGTATTTTTTTTAAATTTTTATTAAGTAACTTTGTGTAACTTCTAATTGTAGTACAAATCTGATTTCACCAATAGAATCCTTGATATCAATTTTCTTAGCATAGTTTTTATTGTTTGTCAATCGGATTAATAGTTAATGAGTTATTAAGATTTAAAAATATATAACTATAGAAAATGACAAATAATAATCTGTTATTTCTGTGATACGAGACCTGTTGGTACAGACCCATTGACACAAACCTTTGGTACAGACCCATTGGCACAGACACAGACTTGTTAACACAAAATATTATTTGTTTTTATATAGAGTTCTAAAAGATATAAAAACTCTGTCTTTTTGCCCAAGACAAGATAGGTTCTGCCAGGTTCTAACTTGTATTTCCCTAACTTTTTCCTATTAAATAAAATAATATACCTTTGACTATATACCCACTACCATGTATATACTCTTTTTATAGTATTTTTATAGGGTTTTCTTTGTTTTTCTTGAGTTTTTATTCTATTTTTATTGTATTTTCCTAGGTTTTGCTTCCTATTTTCTATACTTTATATCCTATATTTTGAGTTATTTTTAAGTTTATATCCTTTGAGTTTATTTCCTTTGAGTTATATCTGAGTTTTATTTGAGTTTTATTTGAGTTTTACCTTATATATATATATATCCTTACCCTCTCTACGTTAAGTCAAGTGGTATAGTTGCAAGACTACTACAATATTCTTTATAATTTTATTTATTCAAAAAAAGTATCAAAAAAGTTTCATTTTTTAAGTAAAAGTAAGTTAAAACAATTTTGTCTTCAAATTTTAATTTCGAGTTTTAAAGCCCAAAATAATTTTGTCCTTATTTATATATAAGAGTAATACAGAATATATTAATTTAATTTATATATATATGGTGAAATCAAATGCACAAAACAATTCACCATTAAAGCAGAGTTACAAGAATGTTATGTCCAGAATAGAAATGTGGAAAAAGAAACCAAGCGGAAAGATGGATTAGAAAAATACATTCCAAAAAATATGAATGATACTTTCCAGGATGTTTGAAACGATACAACTGATCGTGGAAATTGTAAGACTGTATACACGTTTTGACAAAAATGGGTTACCGTTTTCATGGTTTCAGGAATCACAGAATGAAGATCCACGTCGTTAAAAAAAGTATAAAGAAATTACATAATTGGAAATTGTGAAAGCTTACTCATAGTTGTTACAAACAATGAAAATATGAACTTGTATCTTTCAAAATAAGAAATTCAAAAAATTGAGATTTTATACTACAATGCTATTTTCTTAATAAACGAAATTTATATGCTATACAAATCTTTTAAGTATCTTGGATTAGTTTAATATCCGAATTATAGCGAGGTATTTTAGGGGCAACAATACGACAGTTTGGGATTCATTCAAATCCCTGATTGAATTGATCACGATACGAGTAATAATCAGCACGGCAGCATTTTAAGAACATTAACCATATATAAAAGCTGATTCTTTTTTTTTATTAATGTAAGATTTGCCTCAGCCTTTTCAGTCCTTATTAATAATTATAATATTTTACAATGAGTTATAATTGTCTATATAACTTCGTTGTGAACATTTTGTACGGTTCGGTTATTTTATAGAAAATTTTTTATTAATAAATATGATTCTAAGGCATATATATTCGTTTAATATTTATTGCAGTCAATAGCTTCGATATTATTTTTTCGCATGTTTTATGCTAGATTTACATAAATAAATTAACGGTGATGGAATAACTTTCTCATAAAAAGTGAATATTTCTTTTAATTAACATGGAACGAACTACCGGGCATATCCGAAAGTATTTCGGCATTAAACTTTACTGAAAATGGGTTAACAATTAAATAATGTTTAATACTTTATATAAAAACGTGATAGTATCTACGCCTTGTATATTTTTAATTGATGCATTTACGAAAAAAAAAAGAAGCTGACGAGATGACAAACATTACTTATAGTTTAGGGTAATGCATGTACGCATGCACCTATGCTTTTAATGAGAAATCGATCCATAAAAGGAAATTTTCATTATTGCATGTGTTACACGATCTATGTTAAATTAATTTGTCGTCAACTAAGAAACCAGCCCCAGGTCTTCAAAAAAGGAAATCCCAGATCTTGTAATTCAAATTTGGTAATATCCTTGTTTGCAAAGTCATTATCAAATTTATTCGTCGAGAGCTTTATTCATAAGCTTTTGTTCTCCTTTATCAGAGATCCCTTGTTTAGGTTTAAATTAAGAAAAAAGCTCATGCATGAGATTTTTCATGCATAAGTAGTTAAACGGTCATTATTGCTGTTGACAATGCTTCATAAATCTGTATGTTACCAGTTTCATCAACTAGCGTAAAAAAAAAAAGCATATAAACTGTCTCGCATTTCTTTGTTAAAAATTTTTAATATGATTTCATGTCATAGCAAATTACAATCGATAATTATTCCTTTGTCGAATAATCATAGTTCGATGTGTATAATTTAAAGACTTTTTTCACTTCTTTCTGCTAAATCCTTAGTCATCTCTCCCTTGAATTGGTAAAATCTTATTTTTTTAGAGGGGGGAGAAAATTATTAAGCAGAGGAAGATAAATTATATAAATTATATACATAAACTTGATAAGTATCCGGGATACTTTTTACAACCATCCTCCTTCCCACTTATATATCTTCCTCTATAAATTTTTTTCCATCTAGTATATCATCATTCACTCTCTCACACGTGTATGCGTTTATATTAAAAGAAAAAAATGGCAGATTATTTTTTCACTGTCGTAACATTTTTAGCAATATTGCTATGCATCATTCCAGGAATATTCCATATTCAAACAAGAAATTGGGGTGCAATTCTTATGATATTTTGGGTAGTAACGACAAATACCATACTATTTATAAATTCTATACTTTGGGCTACTGATCTAGATGATAAAGCACCTATTTATTGTTTAATTTCTTCTCCAATATATGTTGGCTCAAATTTTGGTTTATTAGCTTCTATTTCTTGTATGATTCATACTCTTTATACCCTTATTGCACGTCCTATGATTATTACTGAGAATATTAAAAGGAGACAAGCTATTATAGATTTTAGTCTTATAATTTTAGTCCCTATGATTCTTACTGGATGTTTTTATCTCGTCCAGACAAATAAATATGGAATTAGACCTGTTTTAGGTTGTTTCTCACCAGCATACGTAAACGGTTTGTTTTTTTTGATCGATGGAATATGGCCTGTTTTTATTTCTATTGTTGGTTGTTATTATGCAGGTATGTAAATTGTTAGAAAATCGGTTTTTTTTTATATTGATATGAAAATATAAATGTCAAGTAATTTAATAATTCTATTTATTTATTATTATTATTATTATTTAAGCACTTACATCCTACGCTATCTTGAAGAAAAAACTTGAAATCCAAACTCTTTTAAGACGTAATGAATCTGGTCTCAACACAGCAAGATTCTATCGCCTCGTATTTTTTTGTATCACCTATCTAATATTCGCATTTCCGACGTCACTCTTGACATTTTTTAGTAATGTCGCGCAATCTCAATATATAACAGATTTCAGACCTGTTTTTTATTTTGCCGACTATTATACTGCTTTTAATACAGTTCCCAGATTTCCGTACGGTTTATCAGTTTTCGATTATGCAAAACCTTTAACTGGGTTTTTCGTATTTTTATTCTTTGGTACTGGTCGCGACGCTTCATCTGCATATATAAGATGGGCTAAAAAAATTCATTTAGATAAAGTATTTTCATTTTTGAAAGAGAGTTATGATGATTTACGTAGTCAACATTCAAAATCTTCAAAATCTTCAAAATCCTCGTAAGTATTTTTATTATAAAAAAATGGGAAATTCATTATCACTATTAGTTTATTAATTATTATTATTATTTAATCTCCTCTTTTTTGATTTATTACTAGTCAAAATTCTACACTTCAAAGTAATAGTCATGTATCCTCAATTCCTGACTCTCCATTTAAATCTCCAAAACATGTTCCTCACCTATCCGATTCTTTTGGAGATGAAAAAGATGATAAAAGCACGATTACAACTTCAGTCTCTGCTACTATCCCAAAACCAAAGAAAGGTTTGGGTAACATATTCTTTCTTAGCAGTCATCGTACACCTAGTGAGCAAGCTCAAATTGATATGACAAGTGGAATTCACATTAGAATTGATGGATTAACTACAAATATTATTGAAGAAGATAATGATCATTCAATAGAAGAACCTGTTCCTATTTATCAAACCGTAGATGTGTTTCCAAGAGGAATTCATGAAGCTCTTGATGAATATGATGATATGAGATTGGACAAACAAAATGATACTTCAACGTTTGGCCCACTTTCAAGAAGTACTTCAGTAAAATCTACTTCAACTATTTATGAATATAATAATTCTTTAAAACCTAAAACTGTCCAGCACACAAATATACAACCTGCATATGTTGATGCTGCTTCATTAGTACATATTGAAGATGGTTATGTTTAGTGATTCTTTGACAGAATAAGATTATAATACTTTTTTGTAGCATCAAATAGAACACTGATACTGCATTATAAATTTTATTTAGACATTTTTATAATTTTAAATATTTGTAACATTAGTATAGATTTTATATCAATCACTTATATATAGCACTTTGTATGGCATTTTTAGCATAGAAAAATAATCAATGATTATTTATAATAGCATTCATTTTTTTTATACATCTCATCTGTCAATTTCCATTTATTCACATTCGCATTATCTTACCATCTACATATCCTATCATTTTACGTTATCATTACTTTGTACATAAAATCTGTTGGTACAATTTTTTGCATTTTATTTTATGGTTTATTTTAAAAAAAATAAACTATAGACCCACACCTAGTTAAGATCTTGAATACATCGTACTGTATATCGTCAACGAATATAATCAGTGTTTAAAATTCAGAACTAGCCTTACTTGCACAGTCGCAAAGTAAAAAATTTTTTCGCTTGCACAAATATAATTTTTATTCACATACGTACTTGCATAAATTTTTACAAAGATTCTGCAAGCTAATTTTAAACACTGAATATGACATTTAAGACCTTTTTAATTTATACACAAATGGAATGTGTATACAAACGTATGTTTTCAAGCAATACTGTACGTTATAGGTTTGAAATTCTTTAAATTTTTTTTTTTTTTTTCATGACCACCGGTTCGTAATTTTCCAAATACATCATGAAAGCTGAGTTTAAGTTAAAAAAAAACTTTTTCGTATCTAATAAAGGATGAATATTTTCGTTCACTAATTCCAATAAATATAGATTGCTGCCTTTTATTCTTAACTTTACTAAATTACAATGATTTTAACAGCTACTGTAAAGATAACAAAGTGGCCTTTATTTCGATTTTGAGTCTTAAACTAGAGGATGGAATAGATTAATGATATTTCGATCATCGATCAAAAGTTTCAAAATAAACATTCATTCATTGAGTTTAATTCGATCAGTCATCGAGTATCAATCAAAGTTAAATATGTGTAATAATAATAATATTTTGATAAACTTTCAAACTGACATAATTAAAAACATGGAATTTGATTCAATATTGAATAAAGATATTGCATATTTTGTTAATTTTCCTATAAAACTTTTAATAATGAAGGGGAAAGAATCTAATTCTATTAATATTTTTGATATAATATAAAATGAAGTTGTTACTGATGGTTCTAAAAAATAAAAATTAGAAATGCGTAGTGGGTCTAAAAACGATCTCGGGTTAGGCAACACTTTGATTCGATCGTAAAGTGATTCAATTAAAATGCGTATCACGACATGACAAAGATATCTGTGTGAAGTCCAAATTCAGAAAGGACAAATACGGTAAGCCTACAGTACATAAAAAATAATATTAACATAATTAATAACGAGAAAGTTAAAGAAAGTCGTACATGCGTAGAATAAGATATTTACCTTTTAATTCTCTTACTCCTTTATCAGTAACGTGTGTATATCCAACGTTAATATATGTTAATTTCTTTGCAAATATAGATTTACGGATTGTAGACAATGACGCATTATTGATACGCATTTATTTAAACTAAGAATGGTAAATTCACGTATACCTAATTAAAAAGGTTTGTCTGGATGTTAATAGTATTTTCATATATGTGACATTATACCGTTTAGATAAACAACACTGACATCCGTAGTTAAGGTTCTATCAAGGCATAATTCCAAATCTAAATATGCATAAAAAATTAATGTGGCAGCTTATGCTGAGATTGGCTTATGCTAAGAATTTAAATTATTTTATTGTAAAATTATAAAATTTTAGGGACTTTTTAGAGGTGTTTTTTTTAAATAGTTTTGTTAGGGTTTAGGGTTAGGGTTATTAATAAAAGTGTATAGGTGAATTTTAGTAGGTTTTATAGATTTAAATAGAGACCCAGATCTCATCATAAGCCGCCACACTAAATATTACAAAGTTAATTTGCTTTTTTTTTTTTTTTTTTTACTTTTGGCATCCATTTAAATCCAATTGATCTATGCCAATGGTTTCTATTGATACAAGTTAAATTATAATTTTAAATTGACATACAAATAACATTTTGCCATATAGTCGCGTCCTGAAAAATTCAACATTTTTAAATTATGAAAACTAGAAAGTTTTACCGACACAAATGGAGGTGTTTAACTGTACACTCTCAAGATTGAGACGTCAAAATTATGTAATGCTTTTATAAACAGAAAAGATGATATCAACTAATATTATACAGTTATAGAAAATAAATAAATAAATAAATAAAATCTTTTTTATATCTTTTTTAATCACAGGCTGATAACATGAATTGCCAAGGAAATTAGATCAATAAGTACGTAATTGATTAACTTTAGTTAAATTGAAAAGTAAACAATTTTAAATTTTTTGACGCATCTCTTGTTAAGTCAGACAACTCGTGAATGATCATACAGTCGTTCCACCATATTATCATTCCTTACAATTACATCAAATGTTATAAACACATTTTTTTTGCTAAATTTGTGATTATACAGGATAATAATTCATTAACATTTTAAAAAAATCAGTAAAGCATTTAATAAGTTAATAAAAAACAAATAAAAATACACATATTTTATATAATTTAATTTAAAAATAAGGTTTAGAATTCACTTCTGATTTCTATTGCACTAAGCGGTTTACTAAAATATTCTGAAATTTTTTTAGTATCATACAACATGCTAGCATATATGTCTTGTGAATGTATTTGTTCAATTGGTTCTATTTTAATCTTATCAGCTTCCAAAACTTGATTTTTGATTTCATTATCATCTTCCTGATCCATTTCATCTAACCAACGGGCGATTATTTCAGTAATTTCTGTTGTACTGGGTCGTTTATCAAGATCTTCATCCATACATTTCATAGCTAATTTAATATAACAATCAGGTCCTAAACATTTAGGTCTTGATCCTCCGACAATTCTTGATGCAAGATAATCATCAAATGGAATTCCATCAAATGCTCTTTGTCCGGTCGAAATTTCTGTCATGATAAC